TTTTTTTTTTTTTTTTCCTTTTTTCGTGTCCGGCAACAGATCGCAACCCTCAGTGTCGAACCCGTACCGGACCGGGACCGGCAACGGGATCGCAACCCTCGGTGTTGCTCCCGCACCTCGCTCAGCCAGTGAGCGGGAACCGGTCCGTATGTGGGATCCGAACCCTCAGCGGGAGCGCTGCCGCGCTTCCCAAGCGGTGCACTGTAGCAGTGCGCCACCGGGCCGGCCCCCCATGAACTTTTTAAAGCACCCTCACTCACACACATACTCTCTCTCTCTCTCCCCCTCCCTCCCTCCCTCCTCTCATTCCTCCTGTTGAATCCCTCAATCCTCAATCAAGAAACCTCAGAAAATAAGCTAACTGGATAAAGGGAGGAACATTCATTTAGGGAGAAGGATTCCAGAGTTTTAACAGCTTCTTAAAAGGGTTTTAACCAATTCTACTTATTTTAGTATTCTTCCCTTTGCCCCCATTGAGGTACCATCTACTGCTAATTCCTGAGCCTTTTAAGTCTTCTGCAGTGCAAACTGAATGGACTTGATTTCCCATTGCTGGCATAGTATCTACTTTCTAGCATCCAAAATATTTCCCTCAGCCAGTGGGGATTTATACTTAAAACAAATTAGAGTCTCTTTACAACAGTATTACCGGAGCTTTGGCAGGGAGCCAAATTAGACATGTCTGTTCAATCTGCCACCTTTTGGGAATCTGTAGTTATTTTAACTTCTCCAAATGACTGAAGTCCACCTGAAACCACTCCTTTGAGAAAATATATTGGTGACTCTAGGTAAATCGTTTAAACATGTATAATAAGGACCAAAAATACCAGAACTTCTTATCACTTGAATAGAACTTTATATCACCATCAATAGCGCAAGATGTTTTTCCAGCAAAGATAATGCACTAGATGATATGGCTATTCTCTGCTTGTCCTCCCTGTCCCTCATTTACAAGTCAATTTTTGTGTTAGAGTTACAGTGCACAGACTTACACTTCTTCATGACAGGTGATCATCCATTCACTAAATGAAATGTAATAAATGACTTCAGATTCTTTGTGTTCTAATAACTAAGGCAATGAAGACTTCATGCTATTCATGAATATTCATGCTATTCGTGTGTAACTATATGAATTTTTAATATAAATATGTGATATCTCCTTCCAGCATTTGGATTATGTTAATAGCAAGTTAGCAGGTCACATCATTCATAAGAGACAGGAAATTAATATTTCTGAGAGGAGAGGAAAGTAGATAATACTTGAGAGGGTGAGGCATCCAGCTCCTGATGAAAAACAACTTTCGATGACACAGTACTTATCACCTTCAAAGTGTTTGGTAAATATTAAGCTTTTTTTTCACACTTTCAAAGCCTTATAGCATCACCCAGGTAGCTTGCAAGCCCTTTGCAGCTCCAAAAATGCTAGAGTTTTACCATCAACTGGGATTCAGGAAACCTGGGTTCTAGTCCCAGCTCTTTCTCAAACAGGTCAAATGGTTAAAAATGACCTCAGGCATGATATTTAGGCCTGCCTTCATGAATCCTCTCTTCATCTATGAAACAATAATCTCTGACATTCTTTCACCCTTGACTTCCCATTGCTGGCATAGAATCAAAAGCAAATAAATCAAAAGTACTTTATTATTTTAAACAAATTTAAATATATTTACAGTTTTCCAGCTGGCCAGTACAGGAAACCAAACCCTTGATCTTGGAGTTACAAGGTGACACACTAATCAACTGAGCTAACCAGCCAGCCTTTAAATATGTTTTAATACTAATGTAAACAGTTTTGGGGGGCTGGGTGCCATAATTTAGTCTGAATATCCATCAACTGTATTACCATCCTTGAAAACCATCAATTTTATTAAGAAATACAGCAACTAAAAGTACACTTAATGTACATATACCTTTCTTCCATCTGAAATTGTTAAGAGAATGTAAGACTCCCATCTAAACCAGTTTTTTTTAAAAAAATCTTTAGATTTAAAACTTTAATGAAGAAACTTGTTCGGTGGAGGGTGAGGTATAGAATCTTGCAATTATTTAATATCTCAAATGATCAAGATCTCTTCTGTAAAATAAACTGATTTTGTAAAATATTTCATTATTTGCCATATTGTATGTTCAGAAAGTGAGCCTCACCGTACGTACTATAGCAATTGAATTTTTTTGTCTCATAAAGGGACATTTTAATAAACTAAATTGGCAATTAAAATGGTTTCAAGATAGAAAGACTGGGCTTTCACACCGTTCTCAGAATTATATTTATGGGCTAGGATTTATGTGTGTTCTGCATGCTTTGATCTATTGTGCCTTGGTTCAAATCCTAGCTTTTACCCTGATCTTCCTCAGTGGACTCTAAGCAAGCCATTTAATTGAGGGTCGGTGGCCTCATTTCAAATGTGTTTTAAGGACAAAATGAAGTCAAAAGTATTCTAAAAAGAAAATAGGAATTTAATTTACCAAATATTGCAGCTGTGGTTAATTTGCTCGTTTACATGCCTGCGTGGGGAGGAGTGGGCTGGGGTCCTACTGTTTTGTTGTATTCCCTGAATTTTTGAACGCCATCCTGTGTTTCACAGAGCCAAAGAGGACCAAAGCTACCTATGCATTAGCCCACATACTTCACCTCCCCCGGAAATAACCTCCTTATTCATCTTTCTCAGGCCTTGCTTTCAACTAGACAAGATATCGGTCTACACTCACATTCTACTTACATGTTCACTATCAAGCTTTTTTTTCTCATGAAGCAACATCAAGAACAGAAACCTATCTGAGTGATAAGGCTTGATGAGCAGATTGAAACCACAGCTCTGATGGCTTTCTAAGGCTACAGGTGGGAACTGCTCATACCCGCTGGTGACCGAGTGGATGAAGTAAGCAGTTCTTACAAGCACAAAGCATGACATGCACTGTGAGGAGTTATTCCTTAAAAGTCTACTCCCTACAAAAGCACCTGGAAATGTCAGACAGGTGCTCAGGGAAAAGAATGGGAAAGCCCTAGTCACAAGTCTCTCCAGCACTACTACTGTAACAGACACAGGAAGCCGACTAGGGGGTGGTGCCGGCTTTCAATCGAGTACTCAGAATCGCTAGACAAGGCTGCGATGGCCTTGGCTCTGATCGAGTAGGCTTTTATTCAGGGAATGGTGAAACAGAAGCGGTATTTCTGCGATGTGCCAAAACAATCCCCCTTATGGCCACGCAGGTCTGCAACACGTAGCACTCGAACAGTCGCTCCCCAATCCCTTCCCTTAAGGAGAGCGCGCGCGCCCGTGGGGACCCATTACCATCCTGCAGGATGACGGTGGGACCACGCAGGTCTGCAACACGTAGCACTCGAACAGTCGCTCCCCAATCCCCTCCCTTAAGGAGAGCGCGCGCGCCCGTGGGGACCCATTACCATCCTGCAGGATGACGGTGGGCTGCACCGCCTGCACTCGGAACTGTCTGGCCCTCCAGCCGGGGCTGGGCGCCCGCACCACCTCGCTGTCCGACAGCCAGGTCACAGTCTCAAAGTTGTCCCCGCGAGCCAGCGCCTCGGCCTCGGCGTGGTGCACAGCCACCCGGTCGAACTGGTAAAGGCCGCCGGAGTGGTCGAAGTGCACGTGAGTAGCAACGGCCAGCAGCGGGCGGTGTGCCGCATCCTCTTTGGCCCCGCAGTCCTGCAAAAGGCCAGAGGAGTACAGGTACTCTGGGAGGCTGCGCAGCCCCAGGCCCGTATCAATCACCACGTCCTGCTCGGAGCCGCGCACCAGCCAGATGTTGGCGCGGTTGCCCGACTCGTAGAAGCGTTCTTGAATCCAGAAGATGCCATCGCCCAGAGACTTATGGGCGTACCACTCAAGCGCCGACATGCTGGGCAGGGGTGCGGCCGGGCGTGGTGGGTGTGGGCGTGTGTGCCTTCTGCAGGCTGTCCGGGCACTGGGCGCTGCGGCTGTGTGGAGCGGTCCGCCTGCAGCCAGGAAGGAGGCGCAGAGCGAGGAGGGGGCGGGGGATGCGGGAGCGTGCGGGGGGAGGGATAGGAGGAGGAGGAGGGACGCGCACAGACGCTGCGTGGAGCGTCCGCAGAGAGCAGAGGCTGCACTGCCCTCACTGGGGCGCAGGAACCATCTCAGCCTCTACAGCCGCGCAGTACGAGACAGGGTTAACGCAGGGGCCACTGCAGGGCAATGGAGACCCAGAAAGCGACACTTTCCCCACTCGAGGGGTCTGACTGCAGAGGCCCTGAGCTAGGCGTGCGAAGCGCCAGTCCCGCCCACTCAGCCACCAGCTCGGCAAGTTGCGCACTCCCAGCCGAACAGAAAGAGTCAAGCCAAGCCACGACGACTACGGCGCCTGCCAAGGGCTAAAAAGCTCTTAGCCCAGGGGGTGGGGCCTAACTGGAAAGTGGGCGGGGCTAGCTGGCGGGGATCTGAACGCGGTTCTAGGGCCGCGTGGAGGGCGGTGCGCGCTTCTCCTGAGGTGGAACCAACCGCACTGGAGCGCCGGCGCCCTCTGCACGCACCCCTTCCTTGCCGGCCGGCACTTTGGCTGCACAGTTTTGCCCAAGCCTCGAGACTTTAGTGAGCAGGTAACAGAGGAAGCAATCGAAGACTTGGGAAGGGGTGGAGAGGGTAGAGGGGAGTTATAGGAGCACTCGGAGAAGGTTGGGGGAGGTCAGAGGGTAGAGATGCGTTAAAGCTCCTGTGTATTGAGGGCTGTTGGGAGATAGCTTTACCTCTCCATCTCCTGCTCCCTTCAAAGTCTTTTAAAATCGTCATTTCCAGATCTTACCTAGTCTCCACTTCCCGGGACTGTTTGCAGTGAGTTAGAAGGAAATTGAAGAAGGAATTTCTTACTGATGTAGTAGGAGATTTATCAAATCCGGTGACTGTATGATTTGTTCAGGACTAGTCATTGTCGCAGATTGCTGCTAAGAACAGACTATTCAGTATCTCTTTTCTTAACTGCTGGCACTTTACCCTGTATGGTGGGGAAGGAGTTGTTAACATAGTTCCTCTAATTTTCTAAAAAATAAAATTCTGTATTTTCCTCCATTTTTTTTGGTTTGTCTGCTCTTGGAAGAGAGTAAAGAAAGTTGGTAGAAAGGCTCAACTAAGGGGAGGTGGCGCACCTTGTGAGAACGGGTAAGAGTGGATAATGACTGGGTGTGGCCCCGCTAGCTACATCAGTCATACCCCTATTAACATCGGGTCCCAGGCCCTACTCCCTACCTCTCAGCTATTTAGGCTTCAGAAATTCCCTTGAGAACTTGACTAACCTCCCTACTTAGCCAGGAAAAATTATAAAGAGACCCATGAGACAGCATTATAAAAGATAATTATGAAAACCCTTATTGTGGCAACTACTTAATGAGCCTTCATGGAAGGAGAGGTGAAATCTCGCCTACACTCCCAAGTCTTTGGTGGGGATGCAGCATTTCTGAATATTTTGCTAATCTAGGAGAGGTTATTCACTTACTCAGTTGGGGCTACCTTTTCATGCACAAGGCCCTGATGTGTGAAGAACAGAATTGTATAAAAAAGTCATGATCCGGATTCTCAAGAATTTGAGGGAAGATAATATCTGTACACAATATAAAGCAACATGGGATATGTACCACAGAGGAAGTAAAAACTAGGGGCTGTGAGAATACAGATGGAAAGGATCGTTGGGGGGTGGCATTTGAGCTGGCCTTAAAGGACCCCTGTTTGTTAGAGCATTCTCAGCAGAGAAATGCAGTACTCTCTGTAGACTGGGTATTTTTTCCTCTAGGTAGAGGAGACCACTAGAGGGAAATGAAGTGAATCCTTAGTAGGCCATGAGCTCAGCAATAATTCACCCAATAATTATTGGCCTTTTGCCAGACTCTGGTTAGTGATAGGCGTGAAAAAGTAAGTCTCCAGGGAGGCCTTCAGGCTTGCAGGTCGCTCTGCGTGTATCCCACTTTCCCCTGGATATTCCTTTTCTGCTTCTCTGCGTGGTTCTTTCCCTCACTTTTGTCAGGTTGTACTCAAATAATACCAAATAAGAGAGGACTTCTTCAACCACCTTATCCATATTAGCACCCATGATTCCTGTTTTATTTTTCTTCATATCACCCATCACTTTCTGATATTTTCTATAAAATATATTTTGTCCATTTCCCAGACTGGACAGTGCACTTCATAAGAGCAGAGATTTTGTTTTGTTCACTACTATATTCCCAGTACATAGAAGAGAGCCTGACAAGAGGGTGCTTAATAGATACTTGATGAATGGATGATTGAAGAGCCTCCCTGGGGAGACAGACAAGAACTGACAATTTCAACATGATTATAAAAAGGGTCATAAAAGTAGCATAGTACTTGGGAAACACGGAAAAGGGAGAGGCCTACCTCCATGTAGGGTGGAGGAAATGATCAGAGAAAGTGTCATTTGCATGTTCTCTTAAAAAATGATAGGGCTTGCTCAGGTGGATGTGTCAGGTAGGGCACTCCAGGCAGAAGGAACTCTGTATGCAAGAACTGGGCTGGCTGAAGTGTAGGATGCACGTGGTGAGAGGCAGAAAGTCAGACTTCAAAGCTCTGTTTGTTAAGAAGAGTGGCGTGTCAAGATTTGTATTCTATAAAGTTGACTGGAGAGTGGATTGAAAGGGTGAGTCTGGCCGTGGAAAGTTTATTCTGTTTTAGAGGTCCAGGTGAGACACAGTGAGGGCCTGAACTAAAGCAGAGGTGAAAGAAAGGGAACATGGGAAACAGAACACAAAGCTCATAGTCTTCTATTATTAGATGAGGGATCAAGGAGACAAGAACAGGTCAGAATAACTCTCAGGCTCCTGACTGGGGCAACTTTGGGGTCAATTATCAGGAAAAATCCTGTGACCTGGGCTTTACCGCCTCCCCTAGCTTCCATGTCTGCTGCCATCTGTTTGTACATTTATTCATCTAGCTAATATGTGCAAGGAACTGTGTAGGACATGGAGAACAATACATATAAGTCACAATCACTCAAAATGTTAGAGCTAGGAGGAATTTCAGAGATAAGCTAAGCCTCTGCCAGGAGGTTGCTGTCATAGTTGATTAGAATAGACTTTTGCATTTCAGCTCTTGGATACTTGAACTATACCCATTTTCAAACATCCCAGAACAGTTCTGAATGGGAATTTTCAGGGGGCATCCTGAAATGGAAGAGCGATGCTGCTGATTTTACATTTTTAAATTCAGTCTATTTTGCAGTTACTAGTCTACTTTATTGGTTAAAAACATCCCTGGGATTAAAAAGGTCTTCATCTAGCCTGGTAATGTAGATGGAAGGACAGTGGAAAGGTATCCTGAGGTCTTAACCCAGTCCTGTCTTTGTTAGGAATTAACTTTATGTCCTTAGGTAGTCAGCTAACCTCTTAGGGCCTCACTTTCCTTTTCTGTAAAATGGGAGGCTTAATCTGGAGTAGTAGTTCTTAATTTAGGTTACGCATTGTAATCTCTTCAGATACTTTAAAAAATCCTGATGCCTAAATCTTACCTCTAGAAATTCTGAATTTATTGTTCTGGGGTGAAGCCTGGTTTTTTTTTTTAAAAAAAGCTCTTCTGATAATTCCAATGTGCTGCTAAGTCCCAAACTTTATAGTTAGGAAGTTAAAAAAGAAAAAAAATACTTAGTAGGCTGGCTGAATTGTACTTCTGTCGGTAGGCTTGCTCATCAAATCACAATTAAATAAGTAAATAAATAGGGAAAACCTAACATTAATTGTAAAGCCATTGCTCTATAGAAAGCACTGTGTTAGAAAGAGGGGGATATAAAATCTATACCATTAATACAGTCATAGAAACCAACCAACAAACAAAAAGACTTAAGTCAATTTCTCTGCTTTGGAAAAGGCCCATTTCCCAAAAAGGGGCATTGTCTGTATTTCTTTTAGAATTGAAGAGTGTAGCAGTATGTATTACCTCAATAAAAATGTAAAAAAAATTGATTTATTTTAACA